GAAACTGAGCGAACAGAGATGTTTTTTTGTTTTTGTCGTTTCTTATTTTAATATGAAGTAAGTTATTAAAATTTTCGTTTAAATGAGTGTTTTTTCTATTGTCTGGGTTCATCTCTACAGCGCTCTTTCGTGTCAGTAGCGCATCCGTTCGGCTCAGAGAGAGTAAACATTTCTGACTGAAAATCTGTTTAATTACTGTATTATGGATACAAGAGGAAGGAATGTGTCAAATATATTTGTCTAGTTTGTTTGAAGTATCATATAGCTCATCTTCATTAGCCCTATCCTGCGAAACTGGGGATACGTGTATGGTAGCGTTACTGAGGGTCATTTGGGTCCCAAATCTTTATGAACACAGATAATATGGTGTAGGCTACAGTTAGCCTGACAATGGTTTATTTCAAATACAACTGACGCGGCAATCTTCAGGCAGTGTCTGCTAGATAGTGGAAGTAACTGGTTTTCTTCTTGAAATAAGTGGTCTCTGTACAGGAAATGAATATGTTAGTGTGCATGAATCTAAGTGCACTGGAGGCTTATCATACGCAGTGTACTCTGAGCAAACAAAACTACTGGGCTTACCATCTGAAAGTGAACAGAGAAAGACGGGGTAAAACAGATGCCCTCAAGGCAATCAATTCAACTCAAGTGGATTAAAAAAATAATCAAATGAAAAAAAAATAGAGTAGAATTCATTAATTTCCGAGGACTTCAGAGGTGAGTGAGACCTGTAGAAGCTCACTGGAGCCATGTCTGGGTTTGTGACGTTAAACGCAAAGTTACCCTGTCTTCCAAGAAATGCTTACTGGTTACAATGGTTTGACTGATGTCTGCTGGACAATGGGGTACTTTGTTTTGCAATATTGGTGTATTTGATTTCAAGAGTGCGGTATGTAGGAAGCAGGTTTCCCTTGGTCATGGAAGACATGGAAATATCAGGAAATTCTAAACTTTTGTTTTTCCTGGAAAAATTATAGAAATTATTGTAGTGAATATAAATGTTTCTGCTTATGCTCTGCATTTACATTTAGAAAGCAAATCCTCCATGTCCACAAATATCTTTATTTGTTTGTTTGGAGACTTTTGTACATTTGTGGAGATCCACTCCAGCAATCTTTAAGACTTGTTAAAAAATAAATAAATAATAAGAAGAAGAAAAAAAAAAACCTTAAGCATGAACGACTGGAAAAGTCATGGTCATAAAGGGTGGGAACCCTTAAAAAAGCCATGACTGAAGAAGAAACTTTACATAGAAAGAAATATCATCTCTAATATTCTGTTAATTGTTGCAAATAAATGTAAAAATTAATATAATATCTAAGCATAAATGTAAGTAAATGTAAAGTTGTCATTGTTACAGTTCAGATTAAATTGTTAAAAGGACTGCATAAATAAAGGTTTTGCTCTCATGTGTGAGCTGCTGTTTAGCCCTGTCTTTCGTTTTGGTAAGTTTGAAGCAGAAGTGGCATTTTTATGTTTTGGCTTCAGGGTTTCACAGTCTACTTTACACATAGTAACTGGTTAGTATGAAAGTAGGGATTAAATAATATTGACATTAAATCGATCATTGCTTAATTTATTCAGAAACAGGTGATGTTGTAAACTAAACATTTAGTATATTGACAATGACTGACATTTAATAGGTCACACACCTGATCTTACCATAACACAGTCATTGTGGTACAGAATCTGGCTTGGCTGCCATAGTCAGCAGACTCAGCACTGTACTCTTCAACTCATAAAAGTTCATGGGCAATGAAAGGATTTAGGCAGCAGGAAGTGATTCAGATAATTTGCTATGACAAAAATCTTTGTCATAGCTCTTTTGATCTTTGGTTTCATGAACAGTCAGCTACTGGAACGGAACATAAATGTTGTCAACCGTTAACCAGTATTTAAAAATAATATTTTTACATTGGAACAAGTGGTTTTGGTTGTTAATCCATATTGGCAAAATTAAAGTACATTTTTAGAACTAAAACTGTAAACTCAATTGTTTCATACTATGTGATGTTCTGTCAGCACTTTTAATGTCTGTTAAATGAGTTTTTGGACTTATTTTTTGCAAAGAAATATGCTAGGAAGTGCTAAATTAGCTGCTTAATGTCAATGTAATGAGAGTAAGTGATCTATAAATTCTTTGAGAGTGAGATGTTTAGGTTTCATTTTGACATGAGATGCCTGATGCAGGACACTTTCATAGGCTTTCTAGTCACTTTTGAGAAATGCACGCTATGAGCCTTAAATGTATATACAGTACACATACTGTTTGTAGCATATACACAATGCAATAGATTGGTACACCACCCAAAGGTGCATTGTTGTGTTGTGTTTTCTGCAGGAGTTGTTTGTTCTGGGCATCTGTGCAGTGTTGAACAGAGAGTTTATTGAGTTCACTGAGAGCAGCGTCAGACTCTGTCTGAACGTGGAAAGCAAGTGAGAGGCAGACAGCAGAGACATGAGGTTAATTATAACCTCACATCAAACATGCTGAAGCATTATGGTCAGACTATTGGTAATGTTTACATGCATGAGTTAAAATGTATGTGTAAGCATTAGTGAGCTTTTCCAAATTGGACCTTACACTGTCTTAGAATGTTGCCATTCAATTTAATTGATTATTGAATGATAATTTTTGTAGTTTGCCTCTTTGATCTACAATAAGAACTTTTTAACTGTATAAAGGACTCTGTGCTCGCTGACTGCCTATTTCCTCTAAAGTCTTAGTACTATGCAAGCTTCTGGTATAGAATTGTCTAAAAGCAATTTGCAGTAGTAAACTCTTTCTGTCATATTTCTAAAAAAATTGTTGATTGAGCTGTTTATTGATTAAAAGGGACATTGAATGCAAAATTCACTTTTACATGGTGTTTGCTTATAAATGTGTTTTAGCAGTGTGTGGACTACACAACCTGCCTACAATGATAAAAATCCACTCGCTTCTCTTTTTTTAATCCCCAAAAAGCCTAAACAGTCTCAATTATCAAGCCGTTTGGTTTTCTGAGCAATATGACGTCATATTGCTCAAGCCCCGCCCACGGCCACTGACGGACTGTCTCGTATTAGCATATTTCCGCCCTCAGCCAGTTGTACGCTGTCTGCCATTTTCTCCGCGCTCGAGCTGCTGTAGCAACAACGTCTCATAAGCAATGCAGGTGTTTTGTAGTTGGATGTAGAAGAACATAAGAGTCTTCATTTTCTCCCGACATCAGACCCACTGAGGACGCAGTGGATTCGTTTTGTTTTTGATGGTAATGTGCCACCGAATACACCTAAATTGGTTTATTTCTGCGCAAATCATTTTACTCCAGACTGCTTTCTAAACAAGGGATAATTCAAGACAGGTTTTGCTAAAAAGTTCAAACTCAAGGATGGATCAGTACACACTGTTCGTGATCTCACACTTTATAATTTTTACGATTTGTTTGCAAATCGCCTTTAATGAGCAGAGCTCATTAGCATTTAAAGACACATGCACCGACATGCATCTATCTTATCTTTAGCTCCTTGCATTCTTTCTTATCATGTAGACAACAGGTTAAGTAAAAATATTAATATGCAAATTAGCGCATATATTTAGCAAAATGCTCCTCTTTATAGTTATTTTTTCTAGCTGACTAATGAGCTTGTGGATGCCGAATGGTTATTCTGAGGTAAATGTATTGTCTCACACAGTCGCTCCCCAACACAATGGAGAACTGCTAGATTACTTATCTTTAATTTGAGAAGCACATGGACCCCCTCTGACCTTTGACGTGTTCTCCACCCTTCTCTCTCGCTATTGCTAGAGATCTATAAATGGAAGAGAGGTTAAACATTCAAGTGTGTGTGTGTCTAGGATGTTCTTCACTGATGTCTCCTGAGTTTTTCCCACCCCTGCCCCGCGTGTTGCACACTCCCTTCCTCCTGTGGAGATTTTCTGGAGTTGACCATCCATGGTGCACTTTCAGGGAGTGACTTCCTCAGCTTACTTTGGCTTCTTTTCTTTTTTTTATTACTAAATTGTTAAAAAAATAAAATAAATAATGAATGATTCAATTTTTGACTTAAAGGTTTACTGTTGTATTAAGGGAATTTTACAGTTTTCTTTTCATTACATGTTCTGTGAGGTTAGTAAGTCATATGGCAAAAAAAAAAACAAATCTTGATTTAATTTAAAAAATTTAACTATATCATGATTTAAAAGGATAGTTCACCCAAAAATGAAAATTAGCCCATGATTTACTCACCCTCAAGCCATCCTAGGTGTATATGACTTTCTTTTTTCAGACGAATACAATCGGAGTTATATTAAAAATGTCCTGGCTCTTCCAAGCTTTATAATGGCAGTGAATGGGGGTTGAGATTCAATAGTCCAATAGAAGTCCAATAAAGTTCATCAATCCATCAATAAAAAGTGTTCCACAAGGCTCCGGGGGTTAATGAAGGCCTCCTGAAGCGAATCGATGCATTTTTGTAAGAAAAATATCCATATTTAAAACTTTATAAACCGTATTCTCTAGCTTCCGCTAACTGTCGTACACATGTTCATGAGAGAGT